AAAAGGGATGCAGGGGCACTCTTTCTCCACTAGTCAATGCATTTATTAGACTGCTTCCTTCAGAAAGGACCTCAACCTCTAAAAATGGTGAACATATGGTAAGATTTGCTCTCACTGAGCCGTGCTGCCATTTTTCTGTTCATAGGGTTGTTCATCACACTGGAACACTTTCAAGGAAAAACTGCTGAGGAGACATTATGATTCTACTTATGGGACTAAAGCAAAGAGATGGAATTCTAATCTAAAGCTTTTATTCACTTACTTGGTGCCCTGCTGCTTTAATTAATGATATTTACAAGGCTTATGGAACCTTGGTAAAAAAAAGGTCATGTAAGCAGAAACCGCTGCAGTCAAAAGTTTCCATGAAATCAGCGATTTATTACCCAAAACAATCTACAGACAAATAAATCTTTGATTGGCTTTCAAAAACAGTGTGTCTGTAATTTCTACATTGCTAAGCCTCTGTGTCTCAACCTAGTGGCAGCTAGAATACTGTAAGTTAAGCTGCATTCAAGAGAATAATACAGAAAATAACACTATCTAACTGAATCACTGATGAAAAACCAGTGATTGTTTATAAAAATGTATGTAATGTATCAATCTGTTGCTCACTCTATATTATAGAAAAACGTACAGAACAGCTGTACAATGTGTAGAATTTGAAATACTATAAAGCCTGTTGTAACATTAAAGCCATTTCAAATTTTAGAATTTAGTTTTATTTTGTAAAAAAAAACAACTAGATGATAGTTTAATGACAGTCAATCAAGCGTATGCAAGTAGCAGACATAATTCTAACAAGTCCTATGAGGATGAGCAAACAACTGACTAAATTACTTTGTCTGAATTTAGAAAAAAAGTTTCTTGTAAGCCATTATTTACTTAAGGTTATTAGACATATTGCCTGACCAAAAACAAAACACTGGAAACTGGAAAATATGACAAGTCATTTAGGTTTTGAAAGCACTCAGCAAATTATGTAAGTACAGCACACACACACACACACGTATAAACAGGGTAAAGAGTAAATCCATTCCCATCATCCTTTCTATGAAAACCACCAGAAAACTCAAATACAGGGCAAAAACAAAACAGAGCTATACTCTTAAACATAAAAATACCAGAATTACTCATCAAGTAGGCCATAGGAACTGAAGAAATATCTACTGGCATAAGCTTGTCACACATGTATAAGCTGCTATAATCAAAAAACATTTTTAATATGCCTCTGTCTAGCTTTGCTTATATTTTATATGTAATGCCACTTCTATAATACCATAAAACTCCATGACAAGCCGTTCTGCTTCTGGTGAATTCCACTATAATGAACCTTGAGGGTCAATAATGAAGAGCTACACAGAATGTTAATGAGATTTTCTACATTTGTACGGAGAAAAAAAGGGGGGCACTTACAAATGAAAAGAAAAAAGCATCACATATAATTCTCTTTTATGCCATTTAAGGGAATTCACTGAAAATAATTAGCAATTTATGGTAAATATACTACAATTATTTCAGGCAAATAGCTTAAAAATGTATTCTAAAAACACATAAAAAAATTTTTTATCATTATTTCTATTATATAGTGCTTTTAAAGTCTTAGGGAAGTATTGCTGCAGTTCTGAATTTTCCCGAGAGGTGCACAACTTTACACGAGTGAATAAAGTGAATGTGATTGGTCGATTATCAAGGGGGCGGGTTTGTTGTGGTGAAAGGTTCACAAGATTTTGGTTGTGTCCGGTTGTGGCTGGTGTCTCAGAAGTCACTAAATTGCCGACTTAGAAACGACACTGTCAAGGAACACTATGGACAGCGGAAACATGCAAGAGGAGGAGAGTTTTGTGTCGGAGGTCGTGGATGAGTCTCCTCCGTCATACATTTTTAATTTAGAGCAGGAAAGCGGGGACGATGTTGTGGAAGAGGCAAAAGCGGCAGAGGCTTGGTTTGGTGTAGAAGGCTTACAGACGTACATGTTTGAGCCCTTGCCTCACAACGCTGCCAGTTCTGTTAGCTCTAAACCTGCTGAAGACACAGACGTCCATCCCCGTGAACAATGATTCTTATTTCAACCGTTGCGTATATTAGCTGCAATATATGAATCAAGATGCTATGACCGAAAAAATGTGATTGACAGATGACTGTTGATTCATGATTGGCCGGATTTAGGTGTACAAGCTGACATAAACCTAAGTGGCCTGTATAAAATAACAAAAAAAAAAAAGATTCTAAGACAGGATTTTTGTTCTAAATCAAAATTTTCTACATTTTGGGAAAATATGGTCTGATAAATAGTACATTTACATACATGTTTAAGCCAGAATCATTTGACATTGAAATATGATTTCCCTACAACTTTAAAAAGTATTAATGTTAAAGCATACAGTAAACAAATTGCTCAAAAAATGTATTGACATGCTTTGAAAAAACTGACATTTAACAGAATAAACTACTTTGATTCAAGAGTTACATTTTACCGAATTATATTTGGAAAAATAAATAAACAAAGACATATCTCTCCACAGATTGACAAACACCATAAGGCGATGTCTTTTACCTAATATGGGTTCCTTACCACTGCATAAGCCTCTCACTAATGCTTTCTGTTTTATAAAAGTTTTAAACTACAGAAAGTCCATCTCAACTGTAATCATACTACCGATCCCCCCCAAACTAGATTATTAAATTGTATTGGTCTCACAATAGAGAAATTTACTTGTGACATCAGCTCTTATAAAAAACAGAAGTTGCACAAAGGAGCAAAAGGTGCATAATGTACAGTGCATCCAGATCTATACAGTGGATGATACAAAAATAAAGGAAAGAAATAAATGCCTGTACGTGAAATTTATAGGAGAAACTGCAATAAAAATCTGTACGTAAAAACTTTTACATAGGAATTGCTACATCTTATCAAAATTATGCACATGCCAGTTATGCAAAACATTTCAAGCTAACTTTAGATTCTTTCTTTAAAATTCCTAAACAAGGGCCTATTTGTTTCATGTAATATCACTTATTGAATAAATGACTTAAAGAAATAAAATTCAGTCAATAAAAGAGACAACAGTGATCCACTGACCTGAATGCATCCATGAAAAGTGTTACCATGCAAAATCAACTTTTGGGGCTTTTTAACATGTTGTCTTCTTTAAAATAAAACACAAATTAGTATTCTACTTTAATAATGCAATAATTATCAGGAATTCTGCTGTCTGAGGAGCAGCCTCTCACTGTCCTGGACAAATGAGCGCCTTGAGAATAATAACGTAAACCCTCCCCCTTCAGGAAGCACCTACCTTCACTGCGCTGTGCCTGCACTGTAAACAAATGCCCACTTTTTCCATTCAGGGGTGACATGAGGCAGAACACGATAATTCTGAATCAAATTTAAAATGGAGGCTCTTTTCACTAATAAACTGCCGAAAACATCAACTTTTCTTTTTGAGCTAATGTCATGAAAATCTTTTTTTTTTTTTTTTTCTGGCCATTAGAGGTCTCAGACTTTGTTCGGCCTTTAGAAGTAGCGTTATACGACGACATCATCTCCCAGACAGGGAGGGTTGGCTTCGCTTTGAAGCAGTGTTTTTTTTCAAGGCTGGAAGAAAACAGCTATATTTTACAACAAAAGAAGCATGATATATGAATTTTTTTTTAAATGTGTAAAGTCTGTTTAAAAAAAGGAGCTGGATCAAAAACTTTTCTCTGTCAAATCAAAACTAATTCATGAGATTCCTGAATCTAACACAGGCCTGATATTGCTGCAGAAAAGGCTATTTTAGAGCTTGAAAGAAGCAGGGAAAAAAATGGCTACTGTAAACTACTGGCCCTGATTAAGAACTGGAACCACTTAAAAGGAAAAACGTTAATTATAAGTTTGACAGCTTTTTTATGCTGATAAATCCTTTATGTGACTAAATGACTGAGGCTAAAACACTAAGCTTTTTTAACGGCATGAAATCTTAGAGGATTTTTAGCAATTTATAAAAATGTTTCCACTTTTTAAAGGTCAGGTATTCTACAAGTTGTATGGATTCCTATAATGAATTGCAAATCCTTATTGGCACTTAGTTGGACCTGAATAATGGCGCTCTTTAAAATGCTTATCATTAATAACGGAAAATGGCCTTTGTTCTTGAACAACTGTGAATTTCAGAGCCTATTTGTTCTGCACTGCTGCTTTCGAAGCACACATTGACTGATGAGACCTTGGTCATTTCAATAAGGAGAGCAAATGAAAGGGTTGAGGCACCGCTGCACAGAAGAGCCGTGCAGAAGACCAGACTGTTACTACTCAGAGGAAAAAAACAAAATGACTAAAATGTATAAAGATTTTTGAAAAAAAGTTTGAGAATCTTTTATGTAGCATTAATCAAATGCAAACCTTGAAATACAACAGGGGAATGTATAACAAACATTGTGTATAACACAGAAAGAGAGAGATAAAAGACAATCATTCTTTGTTGAGTCCAAGATAACATAAAGACTTTGACACATCTACAAATGGCTTCTGATAAAAAATGTTAAGCATGGTTAGAAATAAATTAAAAAAATCTGAGAGAATAGCTTCAGAGAAACCCTAACAGAACAATAGGTTAGTGTGGAGATAAAGTCCTGACACTAAAAAACAAAAATTAAATAAGAAAAAAGATGCAAGCTTAGTAAAATACTATCATTGTTTAAATGTTGCACATAGATTTATGGATGCATGTTTATATGTTATAGAAAATCACTATTAATCAAAAATTGAAACTACACATAAGGCAGCCCATTCTTTTTCATGACCAGTGCTCATGCAGATGTTTCACAGAGGGGGGCACATCTGCACCCCTGGTAGCCTCTGTCTGATTTTGACCAGACCTTACCCTTAGAGCTTATTAGGTATTCCAGTCACACACTCACACAATGTGGTATCACTAAGAGACAGTGTTCTAGCCACCAGCTAACAAGCTGCAGTGGGAAGACTGGAGTCTGTTTTTGGTGACATTAACTGGATCTCCTACCTTTCAGCACCACAACCACATCCTCTGCATCTGCAGGAGCGGCTTCCCCCGCAGCATCACTGCAGGCTGACGGCTCATCCCCCTCAAACAGCTGGTTCACCTCCCCCTGGATGTCAGAGGGGCGCCGGTCGCTCTTGGAGACGGTGAACCTCTGGCTCATGGTGTCTGTAGCTGATGAGATAAACCGCGGCTGTTCTTCCCCCAGTGCGCGGCCACGCAGGCGGACAGAATACCAGCCTCTAAACGCGCTCTTCCTTCCTTCTACTTGGTTTTCTGTTACAGCCGAGGTTTTTTCTTTTTCAGCTGACTGTCAGGCTTTGGGAAAAAGCGTCTCTTTGTGAGATGATCAGCCGTAAAGGAGCGAGTGGACCATCGCATCAACCGGTGTCTGCAGGCTGCTGCGCACCTGGGTCCTAAAGCCGATCCGAAAAGGCGCACTGAAGCTCTGGCACCAGGAGCTCACATATTCATCCAAAATGCTTTGCTGCAATGATTCTTTTACCTTTAAAATGTTTTTAAAAGGCGCGGAAAATATTTGTATTCAACGCTAAATGTGGTTTGAAAGAAATTTACCAAAATCAGTAGTGTTTTTTTTTTTTTTTTTTGGGCCATTAAATGAAATCAAACTGCTCTAAATGCAAAGGTGTCAAAAGTAAAGTACTCACATTCTTTTCTCAAATAAAAATACAGTTACCTTTTTGAAAAAAGATGATATTTTCCTACTTTGTTCACTGTGTTGGTGGCAATGATTTAAAATATACTGACTTAGACTGGTTTTGTTCTGAATTAACATTTTAGAACAGGATAATATAGATTGAATTCCTACAAGGGCGGCTGAATACTTTTAGAGCTTAAGTATTTGAGGCATTAAAGTTGCAATCAGGATTCAATTTGAAACAAAGCATATTCAGCTTGTACCGGTATATGAAAAATATATATTAAAGTTGTAATCAATAGTGTCAAAAGTACACAGATTTGTTACTTAAGAAAAAGTATAGATACTGCACTTAAAAACACGCTGTTAAAAGTTGAAGTATCAACTGGACCTCTTTACTCAAGTAAAAGTGAAAAAAGTATGTGCTCCAAAAACTACTTAAAGTATAAAAGTATTAAGTAACTTTTAACAAAAACAGCCAGATGCCACTATATGAATTGAAAGCTAAATTTTTTGACTACTTTGAAAAATTCTCTGAGATAGGGCCAAGGATCAGGGATGTCTTGTTGGTCTCTGTCTTCATCTCCCGATACGCTCTCGCCTGTGTCCGACCTTTTAGACATTTTAACATCTTTTTCTGAATCCGACATTATAGCATGGCATACTGTAGACAATTCACGTTTGCAGTTTGAAGAACACCTGCTTGCTTCTGATGATTTCCTTTAGCTAACCAATGAGTGTTTGCGTTCTATGACTCATCCATTTACACTAGTTTTCACTAAATGTGGATGGCACCAATGATCTGCATTGGATGGAGCACATGATGTAAAATAAATATTTATAAACATTAAACTGAAACCAAGAGTAATGAGTAACATTTATTTTACAAATGTAAGGTATAGAAAGTAAAGATACTTGTGTTGAAAAGTAATGAGTAAAAGTCAGAAGTAGGAAGATAAATAAGTAATGGAGTAAAGTATAGATACCTTTGGTTGTAATGGATAAGGAATGTTTCTTAGAATTTGATCCACAATCCTAAATTTTCTGCCCAGTCATTAAAAAACCCTTTTCATATGACTGGGCAAAATAACTAGATACTAATAGGTAAGTCCTACCCTTTTGTTAATAGTAGCAAATGAAACATAGATTTAGTTGCAAGTAAGTACGTGTATCCAGATTCTGGACATTACAATGTGCATATGTGTCGGGATGTAACTGCTCTACTAATCCATTCGAAACAAAAGAACCTAGAAACAAGAAAACAGCCCTAAAATCTAACTCCACATAAACCATCATACACTAGTGTACTGAAAAGATTTTATGTGAACAGAACTAATCTTAAATAAGTACACTGCAAAAACAATCTAGAAATAAGTAAATATTTCTTAAATTAAGTGTATTTACCCTTAATTTGAGCATATAAATACGATTATTTACCTGTGAAATTAGTATTTTTATTCATAGAATAAGATAATTAGATAATACGCACTTGAAATAAGACAATGCTGTTGTTTTTTCATTTTTTACATGCAAATTGTCTCACTTATCTTCTCAATTCAAGGAAAAATGCACTTATTTTAAGAAAAAATTACTTATTTACATAAAAATTTTTGCAGTGTATTGTGAACTACTGGACAAAAATATTCTTGCAGATTTAATATATTTACATTTAGTCTATACAAAAAAAGCACAGAATTGAAAGTGGTGAGACCTAGCTCAGATGAACGCAAAAACTAGACCGTTTTGTCTGACCGTTTGACAATATGTGTATCCAGTACTCAAGGACCCACAAGTAAGGATGCTTACACAATCAATGGTGTCTGATCCATGTTGAATAATGTTATTGTCTAATCTGTCAGTGGAATGGTGCATCATAGAACACATTAAAACTCACTTTAGTAACTCCAGGGTCCTTATTTGGGTGAGTTTTGATAGTATAATAATTCATTCTAAGCTTAATGTTAATATTTGAATTTTATTTACACATTTGTATTATGTGTGTGTGTATCCATCAGCATTAAGTGCATAGTTAATCATCAGAAAAATATATTTTTCTGGCTCAGGGATTATTTTGCCATTATTAAAGGTTATTATTTCAAGATGTGGTCACTGTTACTAAGCCCCCATTATGGACACTATTGAGGCTTTCTAAGTCTGATTATAGTTATTTTTAAGCAATATTTATCAGACACCCCCCCACACATATGCTATTATTCATTATATAAAAAAGCTATAAGATCTGACATATTTGTGAATATTTAAAAGTCTAAAATCCTTATGTACATAAGGCACTGTTGCAATTTTTTTTTTTTTTATCAGTCGTTTTGTTTAATGAAGTTTAATAAATTATGATGTAATTTGGGGGGTCTGATAATTGGGCAACACCCACATAACACTAAATAGTTTTTTAAACAATTTAAAACTAATGCATCAAAAGCTATGACCAGGTTGAGACTAGGATAACAGGGTTGACAATATTGATGGGGTTGAGTGTGATGAGGTTGTGATTTTGGCAAAAGAAGGCCACTGTTGTGTGTACTGAATACCAGAGAGAGAGAGTGCATCATGCATACGATTCAGAATTTGTATACATTCTTGAAAGAAAAAGATTTTCCTTATGTAGAAGTTTTCTATCTTTGTTTTCTTCATGGCACATTGTTGTTTAAAGGTCAACATAAAGAAAAAATAAGGAGGAACTTGATTTTCTGCTGCTTTGTTGTCTAAACGTTTGCAATGATGTCATTCCTGATGTACATGCTATCAAGGATCATAACATTGTATTTATGGGAGGGAGAGCTATTAATGTAATGCAGTTACGGTGTTGCTTACAGTAAGAATAGAACTAAACAATATGGTTTTAAATAATAATTAATAGTTAATCTTGAAAATAAAAACACTATCAATAAAATAGCTTAAATAAATCTTCATGTTGCTATCAAAATATTTTTAAAGTTTACCTTTATTTATACATTAAGGGGCATGACTTAAAAGATGTTATCAACCGAACAAACTACTTTATAATCTCATAAAAGGTTGAAATTGTGTTCAATTTTTTTTATCCTGTTATGAATTAAACATTCTATAGCATGCGTAAAACTTACATCATTATATAAGAGTGAATGAAAAACTAGTGGACTTATGACATCCCACAATGCACCTAGAAAAGTAGTGTAAATTGACGGTTACTAGACGAGCAGATATATCCCAGAATGAAAACTTTACAACATCTCTCCTCAAAAAGCATCATTTGTTTTGGGGACAAGAGAGAACGAAAGATGGCGTAGGCACCGTGCCGGGAGCCAGAGTCATACGACCAACAGGGAGCGACTATTAGTGGTCATCTGTCAGTGGCCTCCTCAGTTAAATAAGTATACTATAAAGTACACTATATAGTCCCTACTTTATATTGTAATTGAGGGGTTAGAGCACACATATGGACACAGCCTTGGGTTTGCAGTTTATCTATGTTTTCCTATCGGTTTGAAAAAAATCCAAAGTTTTGATTCAGACTAATTGTGCAGCTATGTAGAGCATATAGGGTAAATAACTATTGAAAGGTCAGAAAAGCCACCTGTATAGTGCTGTAATATGTAATGCTGCTGTCTAGCAGCATGGAGAGCATGTGTTTGATCCCAGCCGGAGGCGTTTCTGTATTGAAAATCTTTAAGTTTATTGTGCTGCGTAGACTTTACCTAATTTTATCTTGGTGTTTTAAAGCTAGTGAAATCAGACACACTTAACTAATAAAATTTGAGTTACTTTACTCAAACAAACTGTGCCAATTTTTACCTTTACTTTTTTTTTTTATTCTAATTGTGTTTTACAGTGTAGTAGTAACTGAGCATTTCTTAAATATAAGAGTGCTGTTGCTGATCATTCTGACAAATGGCCACACTGTACATACAGGTATTTGCAGTAGGAATAATGCCAGATGTTACTTTTCTCCACAGGTCCTTGTGCCCAATAATCAAACAATTTACATAAAAACAGTCATGCATTAAAAACAAAGAATAAAATATTAGTTAAAAGTTGTATAAAAAAGCATCATACAGCAAAATAACAAAACAGTAAAAAACAGCATGTGAGCAGAAAAAAGATTAAGTGATTATTTAATGAATTTAAGGTATTAATTCTATTCCTGAAAGTTAACTACCGTAAGGCTAGAACAATAAGTGGGTAACAGATGATGTTTTCTACGTTTCTCCCTACAAGCTGCAGGGTTTTTCCTGTCTACCACAGAGAAGCTGCTAAAACACACAATGAAGCAGGCGACCAGGATGCCTTTCATTTCGCTCTGTAGAATGTCGTCTTATAACAAAGCAGACATTGTTTTTTTGTTTTTTTTTTGTCAGAAATGTAGACACTTTAAGACTTTTTTAGATGATGGTGGTGTTATCAATGAAACCAAGTGAAGTTATCCCAAATGTATAACCTCTTTAACTTCATGCTATCAACTGCTTCAAAAGCAACACTGTTTAATAGGAGACTTCCATCACATTTCACCAGGGCCCATTATCCTGCATGTTTCAGAGTCTTTGCTCCAGCACACCTTCGTCAAATTATTGCATTACCTCCTCAGCAGCCATCAAAGGCTGTGGAGAAATGTTAATAAAACATAAAAATAAAAAAATTATTTAGGTGTGTGGAGGTAGGAGCAGTATATATAAGTCAAGCCTGCAGCATTTTGGATGCTGGGGACCAGGTTTCAA